GCCGCCGGCCCCCCGAGCTCCCCGCTCGCGACCCTCCGGGGCACCCGCTCTGGGGTCCTCCGGCCTGCCTTCGACTCCCAGTTTTATCGGGAAACTTCAGTCTCCAAAACTCAAACTGACCCTCACGAGGCCACCGCGAGAATTTCTAACAGCCTGTAGAAAACGCAGGGGGCCTGGTGGCGTGGTGGTTACGCAAGGTCAGCAGTTCGAAACCACCAGCAGGTCCAGGGGAAACAGAGCTTTCCACTCCCGTAAAGCGTTTCCGTCTCAGGAACTGAGAGGCAGTTGTAATTCTGTCATACAGGGTCGCTATGAGTCGGCAGTGAGTTTGGTGTTTGAGGGTTTTGTGGGGAGGTGTGGGGGGAAAGAGTTACCATTTGCCTAAGCCACACTTTCTCTCCACCTTTCCAAGAGGGACCACCTGTAAGGTAACAGGTTGAAGGGGAAGATCAGCTCCCGGGTTCCGGGTTCTGAAAGGGATCGAGCCTGGCGGTCAGCCTCCCCGAGTCCTCTTTGTCCTCGCTGGCTCCGGTGCCCCCTTCTCTGTTCTGAGAGTCCGTTTAGGGGTCCCCACCTTCTCCAGTGCGCACCTTAGTTTCCTTAGCTAGCTAGCCCTCTCCTCCCCACCCAGGGAAGGGTCGTATCTCCTTGCACGTTCTGTTCCTGGTGTAATTATCCTAACTGTATAACGCTGGGCCAGTCATCCCTGAACCCCAGGCCCACCACACACCCCTGCTTGGATAGCTCCGGGCACTCTGCGCTTCTGGCCAAATCCCGCCCACTCTGGGTTCCTTTGTCTTGGGCTTTGCCGCCCCACCCTGCCAGCTCTGGGACCTTGGTGCTGGGGAAACTTTCTGGACAGCTGCTAGGCTGGGTTGGATGTTCTCCCCCAGAATCCTGACTAGAGCCGCAAGCCTGCATTTCTCACCTGTATTGCTGGTGTTCTACCTCTTGCCCTCCCACGCTGACCAGGTTCGGAGTGGCAGGTGTTTTTTTTCCTTCCCCTATCTTTTATTCATTGCTTTAATTCAGACATTCTGTACTTCTTGAGCACCTTCACTGTGCCAGGCACTGAGCTGAAGCTCTGTACATACAAGACAGGAATGTGTAGCCATTCCTTTGACTCCAGGTGGCCCTGCGGCAGGTTAGGAATGAACTGGAGGTCTGACTCACGGCTGGCAGGCTGTTGGATGTGACCTTACAGGATGTGGCAGACAGGGGCTGCCCTCTCCCTCCTGCTGTCCTGTGTCTGCACAGGTCAGGGTCTGTGCTGGGGATGAGTGAGAGAGTGGGCCAGCTAGAAGCTGACTGATAGGGAGACCTGCCCCTTTATTTATTTACTTATTTATTTTTAAATCATTTTATTGGAGGTTCGTACAACTCTTAGCACAATCCATACATACATCTATTGTCTATCAAGCACATTTGTACATATGTTGCCATCATCATTCTCAAAACATTTCCACTTGAGCCTTTGGTATCAGCTCATTTTCCCCCTCCCTCCATGCGCGCCCCCCCCCCTTCATGAACCCTTGATGACTTATAAATTATTGTTTTGTCATATCTTACACTGGCCGATGTCTCCCTTCACCCACTTTTCTGTTGTCCATCCCCCAGGGAGGAGGTTATATGTAGATCCTTATAATCTGTTCTCCCTTTCTACTCCATCTTCCCTCCACCCTCCCGGTATCGCCGCTCTCACCACTGGTCCTGAAGGGATCATCTGTCCTGGATTCCCAGTGTTTCTGGTTCCTAACTGTGCCAGTGCACATCCTCTCGTCTAGCCAGATTTGTAAGATAGAATTGGGATCATGATAGTGGAGTGGGGGGAAGCATTTAAGAACTAGAGGAAAATTGTATGTTTCAGCGTTGCTACATTGCACCCTGACTGGCTTATCTCCTCCATGAGACCCTTCTGTAAGAGGATGTCCAGTTGCCTACAGGTGGGCTTTGGGACCCCAATCTGCACTCCCCCTCTTTCACAATGATAAGATTTTTTGTTCTTTGGTGCCTGATACCTAATCCCTTCGACACCTCGTGGTCACGTAGGCTGGTGTGTTTCCATGTGGGCTTTGTTGCTTCTGAGCTAGATCAGGCCTGCCCTTGTTTTATAGACGAAGAAACAGACCCAGCACGAGGGGTGGAGGCGCCCTATGGACCCAAGTTTTATGACTTGTAGCCCAGTGGTTCTCAATGTTTCTAATGCCGCAACCCTTTCATACAGTTCCTCATGTTATGGTGACCCCCCAACCATAAAATTATTTTCGTTGCTACTTCATCACTGTAATTTTGCTACTGTTATGAATTGGGCGACCTCTGTGAAAGGGTCGTTCAACCCCCAAAGGGGTCGCAATCCACAGGTTGAGAACCGTAGCCCAAGCTATTCTCATGAGACCTTGCTGCTGCTGCTGCTGCTGCTGCTCTTGTCGTTAACATGCCAATGAGTTGGTTCTGCCTCATAGGGACGTGGTGCACCACAGACCCCAGCACCGCTCGATTCTGTGCCATCTTGCAATTGGTGCGCTGGAGCCTGATGCAGCCACTGTGCCCGTCCGTCCTGTTGAGTTTCCTCCTCTTTTGATGACTCTCTTTTACTAAGCATGTGTCTTTCAGGAACTGATCTCTCCTGATAACATGTCTGAAGTGAACAGAAGTCTCCCCATCCTTGCTTCTTGGGAGCAATCTCATACGTACATCCTCCCAGACCGATTGATGTGTTCATTGCCTGGCAGACTGTAGTACTTTGAATATTCTTTAACAACACTCTAATGCAATTGCAATTCCTCTGCAGTCTTCTTCATTGTCCAGCTGTTAAATGCATGTGAGGGGACTAAGTGCCATGGCCTGGCTCACATGAGTCAGTCTTCAAAGTGACATCCTTGCCCTTCAGCGCATCAGAGAGGTTTCGTGTGGCAGCTTTGCCCAGTGCAGTGTTGTTTGGTATCTTGCAGCTGCTTCCGTGCATGTCCTTGTGGGTCTTCTGACTGGCCCAGTGAAGAGACAGGAGGGCACTGCAGGTGGGGGATTTGTGACCGGGTGCCCAGGGAAAGAGCGGTTTCAATGAGCCGGAGTCTCAGGTTGAGACTGCTGCTGTCATTCCTGCTGGTGGATCCAAGGAGAAGGGCAGGCCGCATGGGATCTCTGTCCAAAGGCAAGCTCATGGGAGCAGGCACTGGCCTGCCTGGTTTGCCTTTGTCTTTCCTGGCACAGAGGTGGCACACAGTGACTGTCTGTTGAATGAATGACTAGGCTTAGAGCAGCGGTTCTCGATCTATGGGTCGCGACCCCTTTTGAGGGGAGTGTCAAAGGACCCTTTCACAGGGGTCGCCTAAGACCATTGGAAAACCCCTATTTCCGGTTGTTGGAGGTCACCACAATATGAAGAACTGCATTAAAGGGTCGCAGCATTAGGAAGGTTGAGAACCACTGGCTTGGAGGTCTGAGGAAGAGCGTTAGAGAAGCATGTCAAGTACTTTACCTGGAGTGTCTCCTTGTGTGCTTCCAGCACCCCTTCGAGGAGCCCCAAACACCCAAACCCACTGCCCCAGAGTCGCTCCCAACTCAAGATGACCCTATAGGAGAGTATACAACTGCAGCTTAGGGTTTCCAGTCCTTTAGCTCTTTACCGGATCAGAAAGCTTCGCCTTTCTCCTGTTGAGTGGCTGGTGGGCTTGAACCACTGTGCTGGTTCAGAGAACTTGGGGATGGACTCGAGGTCAGAGAGCAGGGTGTGGAGTTGTATGCAGAGCTGTCTGCACTTCTGCTCCATGCTGTATCTGCCATCACTTCCCTATAATCTTTCCTCCATCCCTAACCTTTTAGACCCCACTCCCCACCCCCGTTCCAAGAAATAGGGCTCTCAGCCATCTCATCGCCTAGCTCCGAGCAACTACGGTGGTGTAGCGTGGGGATGATCCGTGCGACTTTTCACTTCCCAGGAATGATCACCAAGACCCAGCGAGTGGACGTGGGTGTTGGCCTTCCCGAGAAAAAGAAGAAGAAGAAAGTGGTCAAAGAGCCTGAGCTCCAGTATTCCGTCTTCAAAGATGACTACTTCATCGAGGTTTCTCCTCACAGAACCACCTCCCGCTCCAAGAGTGCGTTCCACACGCCCGAGACGCCACTCGTGAAGAAGAAGAAAAAGAAGAAGAAAGTCCCTGCTCTGGACCACCTAGAGCCCCAGGCGGTGCTGCTGGCCCGGCGCCCAGCCAGGTCGGCCAGCCCCCGGAAGCAGGCCCTGAGCGTGGTGGAGCTCCACAGCGGGGAGGAGAAGAAGAAGAAGCAGCAGCGCCGCTCCGTGTCCGTCCTGGGCCTGCCCCACGGCCTGGCCGGGGAACCCTCCCTGCACGACAGACTGGGGGTGGACGGACCCAGAGCTGGCAAGAAGCTCAAAAAGCACAAGAAGGAGAAAAGCGCTCAGGACCCCGTGGCCTTCTCAGCCCAGAGCCCTTGGCTGTACGAGGCTGGCGACGTGCTCTACACCTGTGCAGCGAGGGAGCTGGAGGAGGAGCTGGCGGCCGCCAAGCAGAAGCGGAAGCAGGGGAGCCGCATCAAGGTGAAGAAGAAAAAGAAAATCTACCAGGATGGAGACCTGCCCCTAGAACACCTCGAAATCTCCGGGTTGGCGAGGAGCAGCTCTAGGAAAAGAAGTAAAAAGAAGCTAGCCGAAGTGGAGGTGCTGGACTACATCCCAATCGGAGAGGACTCCAAAGCCCCTGTGAAGAAGAAATGCAAGTCTAAGAAGCAGGCAGAGCCAGGGGCTGAGGAGCTGATGCTCAAAAGGAAGAAGAAGAAGCAGCGGAAAGAGAGAAGGGACACAGGAGCACATGGCGACCAGGTAGGCTTTCCTTCAGAAACATGCTGTCATCAGGGAGCAGAGGGGCAGGGTGGTGGGAACCCTGCTTAAACTGACTCCAGCCAGCAAAGGGGGGTGGTTGGCACATGCGGTTGGAAGGGCTAGGGACCGCGAGCTTCAGGTATGGCTGGATCTGCAGTAGCAGCCCTACAAGTCGCTGCTATCGGAACCCCACCCAGGTCCTTGTTATTCTAAACTCTGGGGTTCAGATCAACTGAATTCAGTCATGGAGATGAATCCCCTGCTTTTTTCAACCCTTGGGACTTGTCTATAAGCCAGAAGGCAAAGCGTTTGAGGTCGCCTAGCATCTGTTGCTGGCTGCGCTCGGTCCACAAGGTCTGGAGCCACAGAGACGGAATAGTCGGGGAGCTTGTGTGACTTCCCTGGCTCCAGGCTTTGCGTGCTTCTGTGTCGTTCTTACTCCCACCTAGCCTCCCCTTCACACACCAGACTGTGACAACATGGTCCCCAGCTCCGGGCTTTAACCTGGGAAAAGGGTGGCCCCTTCAAAACAATGCCAAGACAAGCCCCAGGGCTGCTCTGAATAGGCCGGCCCGGGTCTGTTCCTCCAGAAAGCTGGGGGATGACACTCAATAAGGTGCTCAAGTCCAGGCCCACCGAGACCCTGCCCCTGGTGGAGGGTTTCGGAAGGGTCTTATGATCAGAATGAGCCCCCGGTGAAAATACCACCTGGTTATTTACCCATGACTCAGTTACAGTTGCCCCGTGGGATGAACTGCTCACACACCAGTGGTAAGGGGATGGGTAACTTCAGGCAAGTACTCTCTCTCGGACAACCCACCACACAAGCTCAAAGGGCAGATAGCCCAGGGAGGAAGTGGGCAGGGTACTGTGACACTGTGGGGCATACAAACAATGTCATGAAACAAAATGTTGAGCAGAAAACCAATTTGCTCTATAAACCTGCGGCTACATTAAAAAGGATGCAGTTGTGGAAAACCCTGTGGGGCCCAGCACCCTCAACGGGCTCGGGCGTGCCTGAGCCGAGTCGAGTGTGTGAGCTCTGGGCTCTGTGTGGAGACTCTGGGCCAGGTGGAGGCCGAAGCGCATTGGAGCTCGGAGTGGCCTGGGATTGCATGGGGGCAGTAGAGGTTAGAGACTGGTGGTTATCCAGGCAGGAGACAAGGCAGTACAAAGGGAAAAAGGTTTGGGGTTGGGTTTGGAGACAGGGTGCTCCTAACAGAACCCCAAGCTTACCCCTGTACCCCTGGCCCAGCAATAGAATGGCTTTTCTCTCCTGCTGGTTTGGTGCCACGGTGACACATGGGGCAGGAACGGGCATGCACCAAGTCCTGAGTCAGGAGGCCTGGGTGTAAGAGCAGCTTGTCCCACCACGCTTTGTTCGGACCTTGTGGTCATGCCACCTCTCTGAGTCTGTTTCCTTGTCCATCAGTTGGGTGAGTGCCGAGTTGAAGGCTGAGGACAGGAAGGGCTTGGCTGAAGGGCAGATGTGGCAGGGACTGGGATGGCGGTGTGGCCATGACTGGGGGGTGTTCTGGGCTTGGCTGGGTCGCTGGGGCAGGCGCCTCATGCACTGTGCCTGAGTCTTGCCTGCCTTTGACTCTTGTGCAGGAAGCAGACCCGGACTTAGAAGTGGTTCTGGAGAAGAAAGGCAACATGGACGAGACGCACATAGACCAGGTACAGCCCCTGCCCTACAGGAGCAAGATGAGCCTTTTCTGCTCAGGAAAACCCTGCCAGAAGGCAACAGTTCAAACCCACCCAGAGCCACCTCCGAAGACAGGCCTAGGATTGGCTTTAAGGGGCACACACGGGTCTGCTCTGCAGGCATGGGGGCGCCAACCACGCCCAAAGGGAATTTCTAATGGTTTTGGCTGGCGGATTCCCTCCGTGCGGGTGCAGCTTGCTGTGGCCGCCCCTCCTGGCCCATTTTGCAGGCAGGCACTGAAGTTCATCCTGGTGAGAATGGGGATGGACCTTACTGGAAGAAAACCCTCACCTGAAATCCTATTCCCTCCTGACTGCGAACTCGTAGTCTGTCTTTTAGGTTCTTCAGTGCCATTTTAGAACCAGGTGGACCGGGCTGGTTCACCGTTCTTGCCCTCTAGGCTGCTCAGCAGCTTTCCATGCCTACCTCCACCGCACAGCATCCCGCAACGCAATCTCCTTCCTGCAGTGATGCACCACGCACGTCTGACCCCGTCACTCACACCTGCACACACACCTGTTCTCCCTCAGGCTTGGTATAGTCACTCCCGGCATTTCTCAGGCAGTAGCAGCTAGAAGTGGGAAGAAAGGGTCGTGGATTGGGCCATCTGAGTTACACCTGGGCCTGCAGGAGGGGCACAGGGTCCTGCAAGCTTCTTGGGGAGCAGCAGCATCACTGGTGCTGCAGGGGCCTCCGGCCCAACAGCACAGGAGCTGCCTCTGTCTTGTGCTGGGCGCAGCTTGTGCTCCACGTCAGACCTGCCCAGACCTCCGATATGTGCCACCTGTCATAGAGACCTGTGTTCAGAGCAGTTAAGTGACTTCTTAGGCCGCACGGCTGGTTGTTGGGGGCTGTGGGATTCGAGCCAGGCTGTGCCTGGCCCTACAGCGTGGCCTTCTAGAGCGATGCCAACTGGACGGCACGCAGGAGTTCAGTGTCTGCACAAGAAGGCAGGTCCCCATCTCCACCGGGTTCAGGCTCCAAAGAGAGCAAGGGTGGCCTCTCTCCAGCCCTTTTTTCTCTCCCCCTGCTCAGATGAGGCGAAGGGCCTTGCAAGAAGAGATAGACCGGGAGTCAGGCAAGACGGAGGTTTCGGAAACCAAGAAAGGGAAAGTAAGTTTGATGCTGGGGCCCCTAAGAGGGTGTCCCCGCCACCCCCTGGCATGGCTGCCTGACTGCCCGTGAAGGGTTCTGGGAGAGCAGCTGTGCTATTGAATCCTTGTCTTTCCTTCTGGACTGTTGACTGAGCCAGATAAACCCAGCTGGCCAGTGGCATGAGGTCATGCTGAGGGGCATTCCCCTGGGCTCTTTCCCACAGTGGATGGTTCCCATGGGGGCTGGTTGGAACAGAGGTGGCTGGGCTGAGTGTGGGGGGTGGTAGGCAGGCCTGAGGGCAGGTCATGAGCAAGGAGAGGGAGCTCAGATCAAGTGCTTGGAGGAAGATGGTGGGAGTGGAGAGGCCCTCTGAGAATCGGGAAGGGGAGCACCAGCCCTGAGAAGTGGGTTGTTAGCATTGATGGATGTTCCAGTGGGCAGTGTGAGGCCCAGAGGGCAAAGGCTCGGCATGTCCCCTGAAGACCACATTGGCAGAGGGGGAGAGGGGCCTGGAGGCTCACCCTGTGAGCCAGGGACTGACAAGGTGGCACTGGGTTGAGAGAGAGGCAAGTTGGAGGCGCAGCCAACCAGATGACTGACCACCTTGGCCTTGGGGAAAGACGGGAGAGGGTAGGGGCCAAAGGTGGCAGGCAGGCTTTCACTAGCCCAGCTATCCACTCCCAGCTCTGTCCCTATGTAGCTGTGAGACACTGGGCAAGTGACTGCCCTGTGAGCCAGGGCTGTGCTAGGGCTGTGCCCCACCTGAGTCTCCCTCTGTGTCCTTTCTTCGTGCTAAGCAGAGCTGACAGGATGCTCTGGGGGCAAGATGGGTGTGTCTTTGAGTCCCGGTCCCCACAAAGCTGTACTTGGACGGACCTGGCTACAGGGACACACTCGGTGTGGCACTGCCTCCAGGACCCTGAGGGGACTCCAGGCGGGCTGGGCTGGGAGGGAGCTCTGGGTGGGTTACATGCAGTCGGTCTCTCACGGGACATGCCAGGAGCTGCCTACGAGGAAGCGAGGAGCATGCACCCGTGTCACTCAGGGCAGCCCGAGTGACAGCTCGTTCTCAGTGTTCTCCCCAAGCTTACGGCCCCGGCTGGGAGGAGGCAGGGAGCCCTGGGGAAGGGTAACAAGCATGGGCATCTCAGGGGACAGGGAAAGAGCCACAGATGTTATGGAGAAGTTGAATTAACTCCTCACAACTCAGGGGGAGGTGTGCCCCTGCTTTATAGGTGTGGTCAGGTGCAGAGAGGTTTGGTGACTTGGCTAGGGTCACACAGGTGGGCCTTGACCTCGTGGTTGTCGAGCTCAGCTCTTTGTGGCATTTCTCCTGATTTGGGTGAGTCTGCTAACTGCACCCCTCTTGTTAGGATTCAGTCTGGTGGTCACCAGCCTGCTCCTCCGCTCTGAGCCAGGGACAGTCACAGAGGCCTGTCTGGTAGGGTTGGGGTCAGTGGGTGGGTGGGTGCATGAACAAGGAAAGTGACCACACCTTCTCTGTCCCTGTCCCTGCAGGGAACCAAGTTTGGCCAGTGGGACACTGCTGGTTTTGAGAATGAGGACCGGAAACTGAAGTTTCTCAGACTGATTGGTGGCTTTAAGAACCTGTCACCTCCGCCCAGCAGCCGCCCCTCCAGCACAGCCAGCAAGCCCAACATGGCACTCGGCAAGGAGGCGGCCAACGGCCTGCGGCTCAGCCTGCAGCAGGACTACGAGCGGGCCAAGAGCCGGCAGCACAGCCGGCGAGCTGGCCTCGGCTTCTCCCACGCCCCAAACAAAGTCTTTTATATTGACAGGACTGCTTCCAAGTCCATCAAGTTTGAAGACTAAACTCTTGGGTCTCAGAGGGAGAGGAAAAAGAGAAAGGAAAAAAAAAGCCAAAATTTCTTTTCTTATTTAGTTATGCAGATTCCAGCCACCCGACAACTGTCCCCAAAGGAGCGGCCAATTTAGGACAACTATCTTGATGTACTGGAAGGAACTGGGGCGGGCGGGGGCAGCTCAGGTTTCTGGAGCCAAGAGCACAAGTGGCCGAAACCCCACTTACCGTGCTAACCATTCCCTGTCCGACGACACCTGGCGTGTGATAGCAGCTAGCGTTTGTTGGGGTCTCTGGGTAGTGCTAACGGTTAACACACTTGGCTTCTAATCGAAGGCTGGAGGTTCGAGTTCACCCAGAGGTGCCTTGGAAGAAAGGCCTGATGGTCCACTCTAAGAAAGCCACCACTAAAAACCCACGGAGCACAGTTTGGCTCTTGACATGCAAAAGGTCACCCACCGTGAGTCCACCGTGGCAGCGGGTGTCCGGCATCTACTGAACGTGTAGTGTGGGTCAGAGACTGTGTGAAAGTGCATTCTTTACGTTTCTGTGTTTCTCAACAGCCGGTGCTATGATCATGCTCCTCTAGTGGAGGAGAAAACTCAGGTTCAGGGACGTGATGTAATTGCCCAGGGCCTCCCAGTTGGGAAGTTCAAACACTGTACTTCAGTAAGCCCCAGCCCAGGCCACTATTCACTGTGACTTGTCCCCTCAGGGACCATCACCTGGAATCCTCGGGATTAAAGTGTCTTTTGGTTTCAGAACTTGTAAGTTTTACAATGTGGCTAGCTGTCAGACCGGAAGTGGAGTTGATGAGAAGAGCAACCATCTTAGAGCAGTGGCAGGCTCTAATTGGCAGCTTCAGGGAACGCACTCTAGCTCCATGCTGCCGGTGCCCAGTGCCCGTCGGTCTGAAGTGCTGGGCTGGGATTTCACGGGCTTGTGCTTTTTATCAGACTCCGCAGCACATTAGAGAATGGCCAGTCCCCAGACTGGAGCCTTGGCGGTGCCGTGCTTCAAGGGCTGGCTGCTAGCTCTGAGGCCACTTGCCAGAGGCAAGGGTGGCAGTTGCTTCCATATTTACAGACTTGGAAATTCAGTGGGGCATTTCTACTCCATCCTACTGAGTCAATCAACGTGATGTCAAGGGGTTTGGTTGTCTTTGAACGTTGGCCCTCTGGAGGAGCCATAGGCAAGTGCCCAGGTGTGCTGTTTTTTGGGGTCACCAGGGAGTAGGCGGCCAGATGCCGTGCCATGCAGGTCAAATGCAGGGGGACAGACATTGAGCTGAGTGGGGGGCACATCAATATGTGTGCGACTTAGGGAAGTGGCCCCATCAGCTTGGGGACTGGTGCTTCAGCATGCCTCGAAGAGCGCTGGGTGATGAGAGGCCCATGCTCCCTTGCACATAGCATTGTAAATCCCCAACCCCTGCATCTGATTGGGTCTGATTGTCACTTGACATGAACAGAAGGCACCCGAGCCCGAACTGGCTTAACCGGGAAGTCCCTTCCACGTCTCCCAACAGGAAACCCGGAGATGGGTCAAGGGCTTGTCAAGGAGACATTCCTGCCCTCTACCCCATCATCATGTTGGCTCTACCGGAATGGTGGAGGCAGTTCCGGGCAGCACATCAATAGGAACATTCCAGAAATGCGTGTGGCTCGAAATGAGTCACATGCACATCCCAGCCCCAGGTGGACGGGGAGGATGCCTTCAGGCCAGTCAGGAAGAAGTTGGGAGGATGTAAGCCAGATGGATTGCTAGAGTGGGAATCAACTAGATGGCGGTGTGTTTGAGCAGGGTAGGCAACGTGTCTGCGACTATCCCACTGGGCAGAGGTGAACTAAGCCACCTTAAGACAGCAGGCCTTCCTGGGAGCTGACCCCCGACCAGCAAAGCCACTTCCCTCCAAGTGGGAGGCTTGACCTTTTGTGGTTTCGGCAGTGAGACTCCTTACGCAACCAAGGCCTGGAGCAGGTCAGCCTTGGAGTTGGAAGGCGCCACTCAGTGGGGAAGACACTTGAGTGGTTAGTCCTGGTGGTGGTGTCGGTTGTGCATTGGGCTGCTAGCAGATTCCAGCCCACCAGCTGCTCCTGTAATGATTTACAGACTCAGAAACCCACTGGGGCAGTTCCACTCTGGCCCATGAGTCAGAATCGATTTGATGGCAGTGAGCTTGGTTTGGGTTTTTTTTGGTGTGTCCCTTCAGAGAGAAGCCCTGGCGTCTTAATGGTTGGCTGTTCACCAAAAGGTCAGGTTCAAACCCAGAACTGATCAACTCTGCAGGAATTCACTTTGAACATGCTAGAGACTAGAGTGTACAAGCCCTGGTTCCCCAAGATTAAGCCTGGATGCCCCAAGGGGGGTTCTGGAAAGTTCGCTGTCGATTGTCTCGCCCTAGCTAAGCCCTGTGATGGAGAACTCTCATTTGGAGTGAGGGGCAGGCCATTTCTTCTCTTCCTTGTTCCATACCTTACCATTAGGTGAACATTTCTGAGTTCCGTTTGGTTTGGGGAAACTTGTTTTTGTTAAGCAGACAGGAAATTCGTGAAGTCTACTGAAGCAGACAAGACTGGGCTGCCACGACGGCGGAATGACCCTAAGTGTAGACAGACTTTGTGTACTTCCTGTAGCTCCACCTTTGTGAGTTAAATGCCCCACTTTTCCCACCCAACCCTCTCCTGCAGGGTGTTCCCATGCTCCAATCCACTCCAATGGAACAAGACAACTCAGATTTCTGCTGGGAAGCTGGAGGTGATGTGAGGGGAGGTCGGGCAGAGAACACCGCGGAGCTCAAGTTGGGTTTTACCAGCCCCGCTATCAGTTCTGTTGGCCATATGGGGGGTTTCTCACTGACCCAGGCGGTCTCCCTTCTTTAGCAGGGAACCCCCGTCGCCCACTTGGTTCCTTGGTGGGACTCCTCATGGCTCTGCCTTATCACCTTTTCACAACCAGATGGACCCAAGGCGCCTACTTTTCCAAATAGCTGGAACTCTCCCCTAGAAGAAATTAGGTATCGGATTCTACAGAGGAGTCTCTCCTTCCCATCTTGTGGGAGCAGAGCAGTGTTCCTTCCCCAAAGATGCCTACATCCCAATCCCCAGAAGCTGTAAATATGTCTGCTTACAAGGCAACGGGGAACTAAGGTAGGCAGACAGTTTGACTTTGGTTGTTTATCAGTTGATGTTAAAATCGATTACCCTAGATGGTCAGGGTGTGTCCACAGAGTCATCAGTCTTTAAAGGGGAGGAGGGCTGCTGACCTGCCAGTGTCAGGCAGTGTGACCAAGGCACAGCCAGCTTTAACAACGGAATTGACCATAAGCCAAGAGATGTGGGCGGCCTCTGGAAGACAGAAAAGGCACAAAGTAAAATAACCCAAATTGCCCCTAAAGCCTGCAGAAAGGAAGGGAACCTGCTAAACACTTGAGCTTTTAGCCTCCAGAGACCGATTCCGGACTGGAAGATAGTTTGTTCTGTGGCCATCTACCAGTTAGTGTTCATTTATTACAGTGCCAATGGGAACTGCCTAGAGCACCCACAGAAGGCCTGCATTTTTACCTTATTTCCTTCAAGTGCTGCATGGGTTCTTCTCCATCCAGACAGTAGTGGGCAGGCTCAGGCGTTAGTCTCGGCAGTGGGCTGGAGAAAACCACACATAGGAACACCCCACCTCTAAGCTACCAAGGCTGTGTGGATGATGGAGAAGCTCCCTTTGATGCCCCGCGCACCTGACCTCATGAAAATCCAGGCTCGGCACTAGCAGGGCCACCCACGTAAACTCACATTTGCAAACTCCGAATAAATGGCTTGGACATACTTGGTGACATTTCTCACTTAAACAGAACTGTATACGTAAACATGGTGTATGCACATTATTTTCCTGGAGATCAAAATAATGTGAACTAAAGGCTGCCTGTGACCTTTTGAGGCTCCCCGCCGGCACTGTGTAAGTGATGGGCTGCTGGCCATGAGGTCAGTGGTCACGCTCACCAAGTTCGCCACAGAAGGAAGGTTTCCATTGAGGGTCACTTGGAAGAGTCGGAATGGCACTCGGTGGCAGCGGATTTGGTTTTTGGTTTAAACTGAAATTAGGTGGTTAATTTACTTAGCTCCATTCTTCCTGGTTAATTTAAGAAAAGGTAAGTTCTTGTGGTTAGAATTCATTCTTAGAGATTTACCAAATGCCTACTGTCCTCCCCTACACTGAACAAAAGGCAGAAAAGAAAGGATCGTGGTACAGCAGGGCAGTGTTACCTTGCCCCGACACAAAGATAGCCTCAGCCCCTCATCGTCACCCTGGTTCCCCGTCTGTACTACAAGACTGGCGGCATCTGAATAAAGTGCTAGCAAAGGGATCCAATCCCAGGCAGCATGACATGGCACCTAGTTTCACATTCAGTGGTGGTCCATTTTCTCAACAGAATTTTAAGTGGGTGGGAGGAGGAGATGGAATGGGGATGGGTGGGGTCATGATGCAGATAGCCAGAAAAAATTTTTAAAATCACAGCATACTCTTGAGTCTTTAACTGCAATAACAACAGAAGTGTGTATTTATTTTTAAGAGTCCGAATCCTTTCTGAGGTTTACTGGGATCCTGTATTTTGCAAAGGGTAATGAGATGAAATGTCGATGCCTGGGTTGAGCTTCCTCAAGGCAGGTGCTCTAGTTTGGGGCACTTCAAATCCACAACTTGAATGTTTCCATGTCCATGGAGAACAGGTTATATAGCCTACTCGCTCTTACTGCTGCTCTGATTCAAATGGCCAGTGGCGGCTTGTCAGCAGGACTAAATCAAAACACTCAACCCCACAGCCAGCGAGTGGATTCCAACTCACAGCCACCCAATAGATGAAGCTCGGACCGCAGGAGTGGTCAGCATCACGGGATGTTGAGAGTTACAGCTGAAAACCACTAGGCTAGCAACCTTGGATGTTTTCTCCTCCTGCTGGGTGAAGGGTCGGTCGCAAGTAGTTAAGTGAATAATACAGGCTATTCCTCCAGGACATTTATTTGGTTGTCACCAAAGCCACAGAGTCTCAAGTGTGGCCTTGCCCCCTCCTTTGACCTGCCAACACGGTTGGACACTGGTCCAACCCAGAGCTGCTTGTGATAGAAAAGGATGCTGGTGGCTGAGCCAGCTGCCTTTCATCAGTCGGCCCCAGAGGCAGCATTCCACTCCAGACCTTAGGCTTTGAAATACGGAGTGGTGGGAACTGTGGCTCTGGAAAAGTGTACTCTGTTCCAACGTTATTTCTCAAAATATGAAAGCAAAAAAAAATCCTACCGAAAGTAAAGACGTGACTGGTGTCCGTTTGTTTTTCTTGCCAACAGCCCATTCGATTCTTCATGGAGCTCACATCCAATGCAGCGCTACGATATTGCTCCGTATTTGACGGCTCACTGTCCCCAGTTCACCGTCAGCAATCATCTTTGTAGAGGCCAAAGTGAACCAATCTGTGTGTATGTTTTGACAACACCACCCTAAAAAAAAACAACCTTCTGCAGACAGGAAAAGTCCAGGCCAAGTGTATGTCTCTGAACTTGGCCTCGGAAGCCCCCGACCCAGGCCTGGGAAGGCCAAGGTCAGGCCCGTGTCTGCAGGGGGAGTCTCAGCGCCAGCTCCATCAAGTGACTCATATCTGGTTGTTTGCTTCGCTTCTTGATATATTCCAGAGTTTTCACCTAGAAGGAAAAAAGAATCATTACCTCTCTGATCATAATTCTCTATCTTTGGAACAGGCACCGGCAAACTAGCCAAT